TTCGCTCTTTGCCGGGTTGCTGCTGCTCTGCTTTGCTCTGCCAGCATTCCTGTTTCACTTCGAAATCGCTCTTGAGGAAGGACTCCGTTTTCTTCTTGAAGTGGAACAGGGTCAATCTGACACGAAGTGTGGGGCAGGCATCATCGCAGCCCGATTGACGATTGTCATGACGGAAATTGAGGGGTTGGAAAAGTGTTCCAACTTGTACCAAAGACGATTTGCGACACAAATATCGTCCTACAAATGATACTCATGATCCATGGTTTCTGACATACGTCCTTGAAGTAGCATTTCCACTCTAGCGGCAAACGAATCAAGCTTGTTTCGGATACGTTTTGAATCAACTCGAGAGAGCTTCCTCCTCCTCCCAGCAACCCTACCGGTCTCCACAACCATCACCACCACCATCCACCACTACCACTTCCGCCATTCCACGTCATTCAGCACCGCGATTTACGGCTACATCATCCGCTCGACTCGCAAATATTCGAGAGTACCGTGATCCGAGTTCTTTGCGATCGAGTGCATTGACTGCGCGCGATCGCTCTCCTTTCGCGATTCGACCTTCGATTCTAACTAAGGCGTATTTTCTACCCGCGATCATGGCGGGAGAGGGCACGGCAACGGACACGGTATCACCATGGCGGCCTGACGCTGCACCCCGCGGCGCGCTGGCATAAGGTCGTCGGTACCGGCATGTGCGCGATGATGTGGTACGGCTTAATCTCAGCTCTCGTTGTCTGGTAACCCTATCTGATAACCCCGTATGGTAACCATGTCTTGTAACCCTCTCTGGTCGTCGGCGCCGGCATGTGCGCGATGATGTGGTACGGTTGACCTCAGCGCTCCCAGTCTGGGAACTCTGGTTGTTATTCTTGTCCAATAACCATGTCTGGTGACCCGTACAGTAACCCTGTCTGGTAACCCTATACGGTAACCATTTCTGGTACCCCCCGTCTGGTCGACACACCGGCATGTGCTAAGTTGATGATCTACGATTCATGTCAGCACTCCCTGTTTGGTAACCATGTCTGGTAACCCTGTACGGTAACCGTTTCTGGTAATCCCGTCTGTTACCCCACTCCGTTTCCTCTAGCTGAATGCAATCACGAATATTTTCAGAAAAATGACAACTCTACTTTCGTTGCACCTGCTGGAACCTTATCCGGAATCCATGCAACAGAAACCTACTCTACACTCACAGCTGTACAAGCCATTATCCAGCATACAGTCTTGATGCTACATGTATGTCACCGCTGTTTGTGCCATTATCCAGGTTCTGGATTCTCTACCGCGCCAAGGAGGATGGCCAGTAGACGTTTGAGTCGAATGAAAAATACTGTCGTCCCATGTGTGTGTCTCTGCCGTTTGTGCAGGTTCTGGATTCTCTACTACCGCGCCAAGGAGGACGGGCCAGTTGTGTTGGTAAGCCGAGCCCTCCCCCCTCCCCCCTCCCGACCTACCCCACTCCCACCCTCCGAACTATCCGGAGGCTTTCGTTTGATCCTGTTTACCAAGTCAACCCCCTCTCCTCCATCGCTTCATGCCCCATGCCTTTCGTCCATCTTTGTAACAGATTGTTGCATGGGTTTATTCAACCTTTTGTGTATAAAATTCCAATCTGTTCGCAGGGCTGGCGCCACCCGTGGGAGGGTCATGGGCACGGACATGGGCACGGTCATGGGCATGGGCATGCCGAGGCACATTGGGGAGGGACATGTTCTCAAGGCAGTAGCAGCAGCAGTGGCAAGTGGATCTAGCTCTGCTGCCAGCCATGTGAGTTGATGGCATGCTCTTGAGACATCTAAATATGGTCATGGGCACGGATATGGATATGGGCATGGGCTTGGGCGTGTTCATGGGCATGGGCATGGGCATGGTCATGCTGAGGTACATGGGGAGGGGCACAGAGAGGGGCATGCCCCCGCAGCAGCAGCAGCATCAACTGGATCCAGCTCTGCTGCCAGCCATGTCAGTGTTGCGATGTCTCAAAAATTGGTCATGGACATCACGCGGAGAGACAACAGCAGAAGCGGCTTGGAGTAGCTCTGCTGCCGGCCAAGTGAGTTTATTGCACGCTTTGCTCACACCTCTCCCATGTGTGCTCACATCTAGGGTTGTTTCTATTAGATTAAATAGTCCGACTAGTCTGAGATTTTCAGACATGTTGAGCATGAGTCCTCTGATTTTTCAGAATAGTCAATTTGTGAACACTGATTCAATCAGAGTATACAGGGATGAACCTTTGTATACTCTGATTGAACCAGTGTTCACAAATTGACTATTCAAAAAAATCAAGAACTCATGCTCAACATGTCTGAAATCTCAGACTGATTAGACTATTTAGTCTGATAAAAACAGCCCTTGTTGTATGTAAATCTCCTACAAGCAGGAGCCGCGTGAATGATTTCCTGAAGCTTTTGTTTCCCACAGTGTGTTGCTTTCCTTGGTGTTTCAACCCTGGTGTATTCATTGCTTCATCATTTCTGAATCCCTCTACCACTTCCCCACCCTTTTGCGGCACACCCGTTTCCAGTAAACTCACTCATGCGTTCTGGGGGCAGACATGTGCCGTCAACGGATATTGTTTTAGATTGCATCGCTCAGCTCTTCCTGTACTGGGTAACTGTACTGTACTGAGATTCCTTTATAAAGAAATGAAGGTTTCTTCTGAATGCTTTAATATAACTAGAGTAAACCCTGAAAGGCGGCCCAAAGGCTAGAATCTATTGCCGAGCTGCTTGCAAATTTTGGGAACAGAAAGCTTGTTGAGAAGATTGGCAGAGATAATTCACATGTTTAGCGGGCAGATTATGCCCTCTGTTTGAAGCCATACTTTTTCCTTCGTAAAACAAGTCTGTTCTAGCACTACCTAAGTTAATGATCTTAGGACACCCATCTCGATCCTTCTCTTGCTGCGTGCACTCCTTGCAGTAATACGCGTCGGATATGCCCTGCCCTCCACAAATCACACACCGACCCTGAATCAAGCAAGGGAGAGAGGGGCGGGGGTATAGGGGAAAGTGAGGTGGATTGTTCTCCTTGCAGTAACATGTGTTGACCCTGCCTTCCACATGTCACACAACGACACTGAAAAAACAAGGGAGAGGAAGGAGAGATGGGCAGGTATGGGACGGGGTTGGGATAGAGGAGAGGATAAGAGGAAGGGTGAAGTCGCTTAACTGGGTGCACTCCATGCAGTAAGGGAGACACAGGGAGGGATGGAAGGGGAGGGAGATGGACGGAAGCAGGAGGGCGAAAAAGGGAGAGGGAATAACGAAATAGAATTTAAAGGACACCCGTCTTGATCCTCCTCTTGCTGGTGATATGCGTCTGATATGCCCTGCTCTCTCACATCCCAGTAGGGGTTGGGAGAGGAAGCGAAGTAAAAAAGAGGTGGGTGGGAGGAGGTGGGAGAACAGTGAGGGAGCAAGAGGGTGGGCCAAAAAGGGAGAGAGTGGAGAGTGAGGACTGGGAATGCTGCAGTCATCTGCGTCTTTGTTTGTTTAGGATAAAGAATGCCAGAAACGTCTCTTATGAATGCAACACCACTTTCCTCACAAAATGGACTGTAGTTACGCATATAAGAGATACAAAAGAAGAGATACAACTTTCCTCACAAAATGGACTGTAGTTACGAATATAACCTGTACGCTAAAATTAGTACCAACGAACACCAGCAAAGCACATGACATCCTTGGATAGGACAATAAATATCAGAAGATGCATTTGAGTGGAATCAGGAAGAGTTGGCTCACCTGATAAGACCCATAATTGCACTCGTCGCATATCCGCACAAGCGTGCAAGGTCGCACGTAGGAGTCGCACACGACGCACTTTCCGTCGCATTTTTCGCACAGGCGACCGATGGCGATTCCCGGCTGCTTACGACACATGATCAAATCCGGATGATGCTTCGCCATGGCTTCCGCGTGCGACTACCCTGTCAGTGTGACTAGGTCCCCTAACTCCTGAGAATGTGACAAGGAGAAGAATGTGACAAAGAGGGGAAAGTAGCACAGCTTCGCCGGTAGTCAACCACTTCAGTTGACGGCTTTTCGTATTGTTCCTGTTAATAACTGATTCTGGCCCGCTTCGTACAGCCTATTCCTTGATGACGGCCCTGTCCCCGATAGAGCTGAAACGCAGGGAAATAGAGCAGCGCTACCTGCCTGACCACGTTTTGCAGGCAGACGGCTGAACAAGGTCGTACTAGAATGAAAAACAACTATAACCCTGCTAGGACAGTATTCAATGAAAAACAACCGTGTGAAGAACGGCGACCAACGAGGAGCGGAGAGCCGAGATCGCTAGACCAGACCCGATGCGTTGAAAATTGCGATCTCAGGTGCTAACTAAGTGAGCACCTCAGTCCAGCAATGAGCAGGTTTTACCAGAGTGATGAAGAGGCTAGGGATTTCTACAAGGTTGAATCTATGCGAACCGGCACTAACTAACAATGCTGCGAGTGTACCGCACACAACCTTGAGAACTCCAGAACCTCATCTCCTCTAACGGAACTCATGGGTGGATATGAAGCTGATCAGGAGGATCGGGTGTACTATAACTTGCAGTTCTCTATGAAAGGGACATGGGGAAAAGCATGCCATGATCGTAGTCAAGCAGAATCGGGGGCCTAAACGAGCTGCAGATCGTTTGATTGCATGCAGCGCTTATATTTCTTCATATGTCCTTTTCCATTTTAGCATATCCCTCAACACTTCTTTTATTCCTAACTCTACCCTTGAATATCCAAACGCCCTTTCTCATCTGAACACACATAACTTTCTCATTCATTGTCAATCAAGCGAGCCCCACCTTTCCTCCTTTCTCCTCCCCACCTCCACCACCTTATGAGGCACAATTTGCCCCCGCTTCCCGCTGCAACGCGCCGCAACCACCTGTGATGGCCGCAGCAGCTCTCTGCCGTTCCACACGCTCCTCCTCAGGGCCGGTCATTTCCCGCACCACCACGGTGAGGCGGCTTCGGTAGCGGTGCTTCACCCCCGATCTCGCCCCTCCCATGCGGATTCAGCCGCTTCAGATATCGGCCCTTGCCCACATACGCCTCCGCTGCAGGAGGGAGGGAGAAGAGGGAGAGGGGAAGGAGGGGAAAACCAGCATGAGGAAATGGGAAGAGTTACATCGGAAGCAGCAGCAGCAACAGCAGCAGCAGCAGCAGCAGCCCCAGCCGCTCTCTGCTGTTCCACGCGCTCCCTCTCGGGGCGGCTCATCTCGCGGGACCACCACGGTGAGGCGGCTTCGTAGCGGTGCTTCACCCCCGACCGCCCCCTCCCATGCGGGTTTCAGCCGCTTCAGATACCGCCCCTTGCCCACATACGCCTCCGCTGGAGGGGAGGGGGGAAATAGGGGAAAGGGTTTATCATCATCGTCAGCAGCACCAGCAGCACCAGCAGCACCAGCAGCCGTGCTTCACCCCTGACCGCCCCCCTACTGAGCAGGTTCAGGCCGCTTCAGATACCGGGCCCTTTCCACATATGCCTCCGCTGGAAGGCGGGAGTGGGGGGAAGGGGGAAAGGGGAGCAGCACAGAGAAATAAGGAGTTGAATGGCAGCACCCCGATCGCCCCCTCCTGAGCGGGTTCAGCCTTTTTCAGATACCGGCCCTTGCCACATATTCCCCCGCTGAGAGAGGAGGTGGAGGGGGAGGGGGGAAAGGGAGAGGAAACGACAGAGATGGAAAGGGGTTGGTTGACTGGCAGCACCCTCGCCCCACCCCTCCCATGCGGGTTCAGCTGCCTTCAGATACCGCCTCTTGCCACATATGCCATCCGCTGGAGGCAGGGAGGAGGGGGGAAGGGGGGAGGGGGAGGGGAAGAGGGGAAATGCTTTAACGCCCAGCAACAGCAACAGCAACAGCAACAGCAAACAGCAGCAGCAACAGCAAGAGCAGCAGCAACCAGCAACAGCAACAGCAACAGCAACAGCAGCAGCAGGAGTAGCAAGCAGCAGCAGCAGGCGCTCTCTTCTGCTCCTTGCAGAGTAAAGAAGGATTCGAACTGCAGCAGCAGCAGCAGGAGCTCTCTTCTGCTCCACGCGCTGCTCCCTCGGGGCGGCTCATCTCATGAACCACCACAGTGAGGCGGCTTCGGTACCCATACACACCCTCACTCACACCCCTTCCTCCTCTCCCCCCTCACCTATAATAAGCTTCTTCTCCCTCCAGCCCATGGTTGTGCACTGCGTTGGCCTTGGCTGCTGTGATCACCTGCAGAGGGGCAGCGGGCAAGAGACAGAGGAAGGAGAGGCGAGAGAAGCACAATGTCGTATTCACATTCATTGTTATGACATGGACATGGTCAGCCTCTTCTTCTCCTCCAGCCCATGGTTGTGCACTGCGTTGGCCTTGGCTGCTGTGATCACCTGCAGAGGGGCAGACGGAAAGAGGGGGGCAGAGGGAAGAAAATGACCATTTCAAAACCTGATAGTGTTGTGGCTCCTGGAAGGAACCAGCGTCCATCTAAGATGCCAACTAAGTTTCCCGTTTTCCATCTCTCCTCATTCTTAGTCTCATTCCATCTCATTCTCTGCTAAAACCACGGTATTAGAAGTGCGCTGGTGCGGCTAACGACCTGCATGAGCGAGCGCGCAGATGAGGCAACTGTCACCCACACCGTAGTCACACCTCAACATAGTCACATCTCACCTTAGTCACAAAGTCACATCCCACCTTAGTCACATAGTCTCATCCACCTTAGCGACGGTCTTAGCAGCGCGCTTGGTGTGCTGACTGCCATCTGCATGAGCGCATCGGTCTGGCGTCATCCCCCGCACCATTGCTCCCACCAGGTTGACCCTGGTCAACCTGGTCATCATGCTTTCACCAGGTTGACCTGGTCAACCTGGTCATCATGCTATCCACCAGGTTGACCTCCCTCCACATTTCACCTTAGTCACATGGTCCACCATACTCACCTCCATCCAACTCAGATCCCGCGGTCCCACCTCGTCTCACCTTAGCCACGGTCTTAGCAGCGCGCTTGGTGCTGACAGCCAGCCATCTGCATGAGTGACTGGTGAACCGCACTGTCAGGTTGACACCCTCAGCCATCTCACCTGCTGTCAGGTTGGCACTGGTGATCGAGCGACTCCACCCTCACTACTCGGTCACATCTCACACCCACCCCCTCTCCCCTCCCACCCTCACCTCGGTCACATCTCACACCCACCCCCCCCTCCCCTCCCACCCTCACCTCGGTCACATCTCACACCCCACCCGCCCTCCCCTCCCACCCTACACACCTCTCGCCTCACTACCGTCCGACCTTGGCAACCGTCTTGGCAGCGCAATTTGGTGCTGACAGCCATTTGCACGAGTGCACCATCGTCAGGGTGGCACCAGTGAGGCAAGCGTCTTGCCTGTTTTTGAGTCGACTCAAAAACAGCATCGTCAGGGTGGCACCAGTGAGCAAGCGTCTGCCTGTTTTTGAGTCGACTCAAAAACAGCATCGTCAGGGTGGCACCAGTGAGCAAGTGTCTGCCTTGCCACCCTCACCTTGGTCACATCTCACCTCCATCCCACCTCCCACCTTGCCCACCTCTCACATCTCACTTCTCTCCTCTCACCTTAGCCACCGTCTTAGCAGCGCGCTTAATGCTGACTGCCATCTGCATGAGCGCATCATCTGGTCGGCATCAGTGAGCAAGTGACTGCATCCCACCTCCCACGTTACATAAAGCTCACCTTCCACACACCTCACCTTGGCCACCGTCTTAGCAGCGCGCTTAATGCTGACTGCCATCTGCATGAGCGCGCGCGCTGTGAGGATGGGCTGCACCAGTGAGTGAGCAACTGTCACCCACACCGTAGTCACATCTCAATATAGTCACATCCTCTCACCTTAGCCACGGTCTTAGCAGCGCGCTTAATGCTGACTGCCATCTGCATGAGCGCATCATCTGGGGTCATCCCCCGCACCATGGCCGCCACCAGATTCACCTTCTTGGGACCCTGGGAGGAGGAGGGTGGGGGGATCGGAGAGGAGGGGGGAAAGGGGGGAGGGGGAGGAGCCTCAAGGCATCGTCTGGCGCTCCTTCCCCCCACCATGGCCGCCACCAGATTGACCTTCTGGGACCCTGTGAACAGCCGGGAAACGGAAAAGGGGGGAGGAGGGAGGAGAATACGGGAGGAGTCTGGTTTTGTGCCTTATAGGCACACCAGTTGGCGCCATGCTATGGTGAACATGGTGGCATCCATGGTGCGAGGGATGGCATGGTGCGAGAGATGGCATGGTGCGAGAGATGGCATGGTGCTACTCTTTGGTGTGTTCTGAATCGACTCAAAACACGCCATGCTATGGTGAACATGGTGGCAGCGATGGTGCGAGAGATGGCATGGTGCGAGAGATGGCATGGTGCTATTAAGCGGAGAGTCATTCTACCTGCCCGGCCCCAGAAGTACGTACCTGCTTGATCGCGTCAATACCACACTTTACCGCACTGTACCTGTTTGAGCCCTGCCAGAACGGCGCGAACCGTGCGACCAGTGGGCGACGCCGGCGACAGCGGCGACGCGCCTGCAACGAGCGGCGACACCACCGGAGCGCCGGACGTCGGAAGCAGCGTGGAAGCCGGCGGCTGCGCCTTCTCCCCGCTCGCTCCGCTCGCTGCCACGTCAGCAGCCGCAGCAGTCGCAGTGGTGGCGGGAGATGAGTGAAACGTGGAGAATGATACGGCTCGAGCGGCGATTGCTGCGGGAAAGACTAGGTACGGTGGTGTCAATCCATGATGAAATGAACCGTTGGATCGGTGCCACGTGTCACCGGGAGATGCATCGCCGATGCTAAACCCGCAGCTAATGGAGGAGCTCGTTCTGGTGACGGCGGGATCGATCGAAGTACAGCAAATGCTGGGCTCGTGAGGATGTCTGGTAGCGAGGACGGCACTAGCGGGGACAGGGGTAGACGAAGGCGCAGACGAGGCGGCGTGTGTTCGTTTGAGGCAGTGCCGCAACGCCCCCGCGGCCGAGCGGAAGTGGCGCGACGCCGATCTGCTCATGGCTCCAGGCTGTAGACACAACAGACGAATCCTATCTGTGAGAAAGAGTGCTACTAAGTTAAACGTCAATAACCGTTTTATGAGCTCCATCTTCATCAGTGTAGTCTAGTCGGTTAGGATACTCGGCTCTCACCCGAGAGACCCGGGTTCAAGTCCCGGCAACGGAAACTTTTTTTCAGTCCCATGCTTATGCTTTGGTTCCGGAGTGATTAGACGAGTCCTTGGGTTACCGCCGCCGCCGTCGCCGCCTCCGCTGCCTCCCCCTCCTCCTCCGCCTCCTCCGCTCCTTCCTTCACTATAAGCACATCTGTTACTTTCCACTCGGAGATTAAAAGGAGTCGCTTCGTGGCGGTAGCAGTGCCAGTGGGGTCTGCAGAGGAGGCGATGCGCGTTTTGGATGAGGTGAGAGGGGAGAGGTGAAGGGGGGAGGGGAAAGGCAAGAGGGAAGAGGTGAAGGGAGAAGGAGGGAAGTGAAGTGGGGACGAGGTACCTGCGCCAGTGGGGTGTGCAGAGGAGGCGGTGCGCGTATTGGATGAGGTGAGAGGGGGGAGGGGGGAGGAAGACGGGGGGAAGGGGGAGGAAAAAGGGGAGGGGGGGGGGAAGAAAGAGAGAGGGGGGAGTGGGGAGGGGGGAGAGGGGAGGGGGGAGGCGGAGGGGGTGGGGGGGGGAGGGGGAGAGGGGGGGGGGTGGAAGTGAGGGGATTGTCCGGGCGCCGCAAAGAGGAATGAGATAGCGGCGTTGCTCAAGTGGCGACAGATTGGTCCTCCGAGATGTTAGCGCCAGTGGGGTCTCCAGAGGAGGCAATGCGCGTGTTGGACGAGGTGAGAGGGGGGAGAGGGGGAGAGGGGGAGAGGGGAGGGATCACCCCAACTTAAAAGTCACCTCACATGGGTCCTCAGAGAGATCCGCGCCAGTGCGGTCTCCAAAGGAGGCAATGCGCGTGCTGTCCTCACCTCCCCGCTCGTGCTACCCTTCTTGCATGGCCACCCTGCCTCCTCGCCCCACCCCGCCAGGTCAAAGATTCGTCAGCCAGTCACAGCTGCTGGGCGTACAAGGTGCGATGATGCTCGACATGGTGACAATCACCTTATGGACCCTGCTCGTTCTGTGTTACCCTACTCTGGCGTGCCCTCCCCTCCTCCTCCTCGCCCCACCCCACCAGGTCAAAGATTCGTCAGCCAGTCACACCTGCTGGGCGTACAAGGTGCGATGATGCTCAACATGGTGACAATCACCTTATGGACCCTGCTCGTTCTGTGTTACCCTACTCTGGCGTGCCCTCCCCTCCTCCTCCTCGCCCCACCCCGACAGGTCAAAGATTCGTCAGCCAGTCACAACTGCTGGGCGTACAAGGTGGGTTTTGAGTTGACTCAAAACACGACTCACCTCCCCGCTCTTGCTACCATTCTGGCTTGCCGTGCCCTCTTACCTCTCCAGGTCAAAGATTCGTCAGCCAGTCACAACTGCTGGGCGTACAAGGTGCGTCCTTCGGGTTTTAACATTTAGGCATATCTAAGGTGCTCCTGCACACTCAACTACACCCTCAATCTGAAAGTGATGACTTTTGAGTCGACCAGAATGGTTATCCCGCCCATCGTGTTTTGTGCTGGTATGCCTGATGCTAAGCTATCCCCGCCCACCGTTTTCCGTCCCCCATGCAGATTTCGCCAGCATATCGGTTCAATGATGACGGGGAGCCGGGAGGAACAGCCGGGCGGCCGATTTTGGCAGCTATTGAGGGGGCGGGGGTGGATGGTGTCATGGTAGTGGTAACCAGGTAACCAGGTAGAGTGTAACACCTCTGCGTGAGTAATGCCAAACACAAGTCATCCTGGTTCCTGCTTTCCTTCGTTTTAAGCAATTGAGGGGAATTAACAACTCTAGTACTAAATTTCACTGTAATGGGAAGAACAATGCCTGATGTCGCCGAATGCTTCCTTCCTTGCTCCATTCCTTTCCCCATTCCTAACGTGAAGGTACTATGGGGGAGTGAAGCTAGGAACAGGCGGTCTGGTGAGGGCGTATGGCGGAGCAGCAGCAGGAGCACTGCGAGAAGCCACGCTGGTTCCAGTCCTGCGAAAGGTGTGGTTATCTCCCACCCAGGTATGTGCGTCGAGCCAAAGGGTTATCCTGAGAGATCGGCATATGCAACACCAAGGTGCATCCATCTCTCACCCAGGGATGTATGTTGTGCTAGATGGGGTTGGAGGAAAGATTGCTTCTGAAGCGCCTCAGATGTCGTTGTCTGTATTGCTCTGTTCCTCTTATGGCAGGTGGCTTTTGAGGTGCCTCTGAAGTAAACTATCTTCATGTATCTCAATTATTTCTCTCGTGGC